ATAAATACACAAATACCAGAGAGAGACAGGAAGCAGGCAATAGTTGGACAGGAAGAAGGGGGTGTTGGCTATCACACTGTGCAGAACATGTGCTCCCTGTATTGTTTCCTGCGTTTTCTGGCCAAAGTGACTCCAGTCTCATTCGTTCTACAGGAATGCAATCCAGATTCCTGTGAGCTTCTAGGCATTTGCCTAATTTCAGATGGGAACTCGATTTGCACCTCCTGAATGCGCTTGATAGACACATTTAGTGGCTCCAGTAAACTCGCCTTAATTCCATGCGTTACTCAACAGCTGCCTATCACTGTTTCTTTTGGCTTGGCATTTGTTTGTTTGTTTGTTTCTTCTTTTAAGTCCCCATTGATGATATCAATGTCACATTTGGCATCAGACGTGAACACAGCCCTGGTCTTGGTCAGTCTGATCACTGCTTGTTTGAACAGGCCCTTAGTTTCTGTTTGGACAGACAAGGGAGGAATTTTGTGGCCATTACACATGTGTCGTTTTAGCTTATTTATAGATTTCAGAAGCTTTTGTCATGACAGTTGTCGAGGAGAGAAGCCAATGTAAGTTATGTTGCCATTTAAAAACAGTTTGGGGATTTTGGGGCTCAGCTGCGCTCATTTGTTTGCAATTTAGCTTCACAAATTACTATAATAACTCTTTAAAGATTTATACCCTCACATGCACTATTTGTTACTGATGCTTCAATTTTTACAAACCTTTAATTCAAAGTATTAAACTTTAGTATGTAACTCATCCCACAACATGTGTGCTTCTAACATGAATGATACTTTTTTTTCTAGTACAATAAAAAGTGCAAAAAAAACATCATATAAACTTACATTGTAGAAGAAACCTGAGCCATAGAGACCAGAATAACAGTGATTCCTATGGGCCAGAAAGGAACCCACCTAGAAACCATCCAGGACACCCTAGCAACACCATAGCAACGCCCTGGCAACCACCCACTCCACTTACATGTAAATCAGAGACTTGATTGTGCAGTCACAGTTATACGCTGCACCAGATCGCTAACATAATGTCATTGTGAATTATGAACACTGAACAGATGCACAACAGCTTAACCGAAGCGTCACCGCATGCAAACCGCAGTCACACAACCACAGGTTTCTCCACCCCACCTCCTTACTGGAGTCAGGGGAAGCTCAACGCTCTCTTCAACTAGACGTGAAAAACATCCACAAAAATCTAGAAACATGTTCACAGTGCACATGCTATATTAATTGAGTTCATACTTTTTGGCATTTAACAATACGAGAGAAGTTGCTACTATACAGGGCTGAGTGATGTATCAAATGCATATATAATATTAGCCTATAACAATATATTCGCAATCTGGTGAATTTTACGTGAACCAAATGTTCAAAACTGTCCATTTTAATGAATCATATTTTTTACTTCCTGCATAAAACTTTTTGAGTTCATTGTCTGTTTGGTCAATTGATGGATCAGCCTTTCCTAAAATCCTCTGAAATGCTTAAAAGGCTTCTTTTTTCACAAAAGTGGCATTTTTATAACTTTCTATCCATAAAAAAAATCATGGGAAAATGTATCATGGTTTCCACACAAATATTAACTGTTAATAAAATAAAAACTGTTTTATTAACATTGATAATAAGAAATGTTTCTTGATTTCTGAAGGATTATGTGACACAGAAGACTGTAATGAGTAATGATGCTGATTCTGTTTTATCACAGAAATAAAAAATAAAAAAAGCAATCTTGGTAAACATAAGATAACTCTTTTAAAAACATTTTTAAAAAGTCTCATAGACCCCAAACTTTTAAACGGTATGCATACATAGAATATTGTTATATTTAGATAAACTGATTTTATCTATCAGACCCATTTATTGCTTTATGCATGAACTCTTAACAGTTCCATGTGGAAGTCATCCTCCTTTCCAATGGAATGCAAGTAACATTGTGGCAGTTTGTGTAAACCATCCCCCTGCTTACCCCCATGGACTGAAAAATAACAAGGTCACAAAAGGTCAAGTGCCTCTGACCATTTACCCACCACCCCTGCGCCTCATGATGCCTGAACGGTGCCCTCGGCCACAGAGACGGTCTGTTTGTGCTCTCGTGAGGCTGCTGAGTGAAGGAACATTTACATGTTCTTTTCTGTGTTCTCACAGGCGTGGCTGAGGAAGGAGGAGGCAGAACACGCTATGAGGCAATCCCTTCTCAAAACCCCTGAGACTCTGAAAGAAAGAGAGGAGGAGGAAGAAAAAGATGATTAGCCTTCTCGATAATTTAAAACAGGTGTCTGAAAGGGGTTGTGTGTGCCTTTGTGTGGTGCGAATGTGCACGAATCCTGTATGTTTTCGTGTTCCATGTTATGTAAACCAAAACGACAAATTCCACAAACAGGAAATGACAGGAAGCAGGAAATTCCACAAACAGGAAATGACAGGAAGCAGGAAATATCACAAACAGGAAATGAATGATGGAACTTGTGAGGTTTATCTCCCCAACAAGTTCTTTATGCTGGTGTTCCATAGTGGCTAAAGGGCTTTTGAATAGAAGGTTGCTGGTTCAAGCCCCATAAGGAATGAGTCATGAACTATTGTACCCCTGATTAAGATGCGTAACCTGGCAAAGGTGCGTAAAAGGTGACTTGACTTGACCTCAAGTTGCTCCAGGATGAGGGAGAGAACAATCTTAGGTAACACTTTAGTTTAGGGTCCAATTCTCACTATTGACTAGTTGCTTATTAGCATGTATTTTACTAGGATATTGGCTGTTTATTAGTACGTATAAAGCACATGTTAATGCCTTATTCTGATTCACCATATTCTGCATCCCTTATCAGTACCTAAACTTAACAACTACTAACTATTAATAAGCAGTTATTAGGAGTTTATTGAGGCAAAGGTTGTAGTTAATAGTGAGAACTTAGTCTTTTCTCAGATGACAAATAAAAAGAGACAAAACTTAGGCTATTAACTCTTTCCCCCGCCATCGTTTTTTTTTTTAAGGTTACCAGTCAGCGCCAGCATTTTTTTATCCTTTTCATAAAGCTTTCATGGCCCCCAGAATACTCTGTTGTATGAAAATCTGAACATACAATATATCCAAAGAAAAGATCAACAAAATTTAGCTTCATGCATTATTTTTTTTATCAGTACTCAAGTGTTTCATAAAAAAAAGCTACATTGTGAACAAAAAGCTGAGAAAATCAAGTTTCTGTCAAAGACTATGTCTGGATCGGATTCAGAACGATGATCAAAACAGATTGAGTAGATCGAGTACATCAACACCTCCAAAGCTTGCACACGCTATACCGCTTCCTTGGTCGACATTTCATTCGGTAACGTTAGGCAGTTTTGATTTATATGCTGTGTAACGTTTGATAAACATGTTTTTTTTACGCATTGGCCATTTGTAACTGGAGTGCCTTGTACTGTTCGTTGAACAGCTCAGGTTACATGTGGTTCCATATGTGGAGCCTTGGCCGTGCAGTCGGACCCTCCTCACACCGTAGTGCTAGCGGTCCCACTCCACCCATTGCTGGCCAGAAACTGGATAGCCCAGGTGGATGTTGTGTGCTTGAGCCTATCAATCATTTCACTTCCAAACTCCCCACTCCTCAAAAAGGGAGGGAAAATGAAAAACTCAGGCTTGTGGGAGGGGGACACATGTTCTCCGCTCTCTCCCCCATCTGGCCGAAATGTTTGACAAGTAATTTTGCGAGCAGTCCCCAAGAACACACAAAGCTGCTCACACTGCACTGTTTCCAGATGTTCTCCAAGCGGCGCCAACACACAGATACATGTGAACGATTCCCGCCCAGTCGCACCGAGGAGAAATGAAAGTTTGTCTAGGGGAAATGGGATTGCATGAGGGTGTGTGCATGTTTAGATGCATTGGTGCGTGTGCGTGTCGGCTTTTTCAGCTTCCCTTCCGTTTTTTCCTTCCATATGTGTGTGTGTTGGTATTTTTGGGTGATTGAGGGTTAAAGATGACTCACTGTATTACTCATTGGTCCAGGGACACACAAATTCAGCATACATGACGCCATGTGCTTTCACAAGCTGATCAGCAGTGAACACAGTATATAGTCTGCAGAGATGAGAGAAGAAAGGACATTAAAATACCAAAAGGAAAGTAAATCAAACAAGCAAAATTAATTTAATATGTTTTTTTGTTTTTTTACCTTTTCAGACCCATGGACCTTCCATAAAAACTCTCAGACAACCCAGATTTTTCTTTTTTTTATAATGCAAATTATTATAAACTATGACAAAAACTTTGGAAGCATATTTCCACACCAGCCTAAAAAATAAACGTGATTGTGAGTTTAAAATAAGAAATAGTAACATTGTGATATATAAAGTCAAATTTATGAGATATAAAGCCCGCAATTGTAAGATATAAAGTAAAAATCCTTTTTTATGTGTTTCCTCAGTGGCAGAATGCAACTTACAATGATAATGTACAACAACAACTAAATAAATATGGAATATATTCTTTAAAGGAAATCCTTATTGTTTTATATATGAACCCCCTGTGGACCAACAGATGAAAATGTTTAAAATGACATCATTAATCAATCAATCAATAAATAAAATCAATGAAAATTGAATCAGATCCATTTCTCTGAATCTATTTGGAGGTTTAATTGGTGGCAGACTTTGTAGTTTTATGAATTTTTCCAGAGAGACTTGAAGAGACTTTTTCAAAGTACTAAATAGAAAATAAATATAATAAATATACAGCAACATATACATGTTTCAACTCTTCTTATACTATCAACTTCACACAACATGAAGGAGGTGGCCTTGCCTGCAAGACGAGAAGAATGACGGTAGGGAGAGAGAGAGAGAGAGAGAGAGAGAGAGAGAGAGAGAGAGAGAGAGAGAGAGAGAGAGAGAGAGAGAGAGAGAGAGAGAGAGAGAGAGAGAGAGAGAGAGAGAGAGAGAGAGAGAGAGAGAGAGAGAGAGAGAGAGAGAGAGAGAGAGAGGGGGAGTGTAGAGGGGCCATATAAAACCCCTGGAGCACAAGCCATGCTTTATCTTGTGACCCGCTCATTTCTGTCTCAGGCACAGGAAACCCCTAAACTCTTTCAGCCCTGCCCCAGTGCCTGCATACACACTCTCTCACACCTCAGCGTGCTCAGAGACCAGAATGGCTGTACGAAGAATGAATGAACTCTGGAAAACCATGGCACTGGCTTTAATGTTCGGCTTTCTTTTGCTTCACAGTAAGTTTATTTGAAGTCTTTTGTAAGCTATTTTGTGTATTACTGTACATGCAGCGTTTTATCATTGTTTAACCGTTTGCATCCTTTTTACGTTCTTATTTTATATTTTGTATCATTTTTTTTTTGTAGAGATTTATAGGAACATCTTTTTTCCTTATAATTTGTCAGGATTCATCATTTTGTAAGCTGTATGAAAGTATCACTGATTTTGAGATCAAATATAATGTTTCATTAAAAAAAATAGTCTCACCTTGATTGATGTGACACCCAGCAGTTTGTAGTGTTTACTCAGAGGAGACGGTGTTAAAAAGCTAGCGGGAAACTAAAACAAAGGGCTCTGGCTTGGAGTGGAAACATGCCGTTGATCGTAATTGCGGGCTATATCCTGCTCTCTGTCTGGGTGGAGCTGGCCGAAACATGGGCGTATATGTGTGTTTTAGGGACTGAAGAGTTTGGAAAAGCCTGGGAACTGTCTGAGGAGTCTGTTAAGCATCTTTATCCTGATTTCTATGACTGCATGTGGTGAAATTGTCCTTTTGTAAAGCAGACGTATGAGTGGATTCATTGTAGACTGAAATGTGGACCACAGTGTTTGGTTCATGTTCTCCTGAAAATAGATGGATGTTTACATTATTAGCCACAGGGATGAAGACAGTCATATGTAAACGGCACTCTCTTTCCAGGGAGTTCCGTTATTTCAAAAAGGAGCAAAAAGAGCTGGTTTGTAAGTGACGCCCATGTGGGCAGGGCAGAGCTGTACGCCCCTTTTCCCAAGAGGTGAGAGTAATGCCGTTGAGTTGGTTTAACGGTGGGAAGTCTGGTTTAAACACAGTGCAACTTCTCAAAAGCGTGGTGGTTGAATTAAACACCAGGAATTTTTTCAGCCAGAAAACAAATATTAAAAAAGAGAAACTATCACTGTATGTAAGAAACTACAAAATGCACTTCCATAGCAAACAAACACTCACACAGCACATCATCAGTTTTCAAGCTAAATGAAAAATTGAATTAGGCAGCCTTCCCCCCTTGTTAGAGAAGAGACACCAGGGAAGTTTGCCAAAGCTATGTGTAATATGAAATCTGAAGTTAACGTGCCCTATATTCCTATAGTTCTCCTCAAATGTCCTGCTCAGTGGTTTTTATAAAGAGTAATGTGAAACTGTAACCCAGCTGAATTCATTAGGCTGTAACAGTCATGCTCCCGTTAAGACTTTGGAGGTTGCAAGAAGTCATTGTTAAAGTGAAGCCTCTTCCCCTCCCCACCAAGAGACCGCAAAGCACTGTACGTTTCCATTCCCACCAGTCTGTTAAATGCTTGGCACTTTAGTGCAATTGGCACTCCTGTGAGACTTTGCCAATGGATGGTCAGAACATAGCAGCACTTTTCAGCCAACCAGGGAAATATGTGTGTATCTAAAGGGAGCAGGTCCTAATGTTGCAGATGTTGGTACGCCATTAAAGTTCCGAAATTGCATTAAAGTTCATCATATCCAACAGAAAATCTTAAATGCTAGTTATAACGATTCAAACTGCTCTTAGCAGACATTAATCATAATTAAACTCTTAGTAAATCTTAAGTTAGCATTACAGGTTTTAGATCATAAAATATCACTCACTTTAATTTGTTAAGGGAAACTTTCCAAGTCCTGCCTCTTGGACAATGTTTCTTGTTAACTGACTGCAAATTCTTTTATGCAGATTTAAAGACTCTTATAAAGAATTATTTATTTGTTTGTTTGTTTGTTTGTTTGTTTGTTTTTTGCCATACCAGCATCTATGGCTATTTTTAGAGCAAGATTGATGTATTTTAAAAGTAAATAGTGGTAACATACATTATAACGAAAATCATAAACTGACTCATACTTTTGTACTGTATTCATTATAAATTGAGTTAAAATTGAGAAAATTCTGTCATGATTCACTCACCCTCATGACATTTGAAACCTGTGTTGTCTCCCATTTCTCTGTAGACTGAAATTTAAGTCGTTAGTAACTAATAATCTTCCACTGTAGGTTTTACATTTATTTTGTACTCATTCAAACATTGTTTACATTTCTTTATATCGTTGTGCACTGGACAGTGGCAAAACATTTATCCATTTTGGCAGACGCTTTTATCCTAAACAAATTACATTGCTTAAAGGGGTCATATAATGCCATTTTTGTACAAGCTAGTATGATTCTTTAGGGTCTAAATTAAAAGTTTGTAATATACTTTAATTACAAATTCTCATTAGTATTGTAAGAAAACACTTATTTTACTTGGTCAAAAACAGCTCTGTTTTCAGCACGCCGTTTCAGTGCATATGCCTTTAAATGATAATGAGCTTTGCTCACCCCGCCTCTCTGTTCTGTGCATACACCGTTTGTAACACAATAACCATAACGCGTTGTTCAGTATAAACGTGGGATTATGAATTATATTGAGAACATCATACATAGAAAACATGCCGTAATGTAACCTAAGTGTAAACCTTAGACGCATTCATTGTGAAGCGTGCAGCTAGCGATCTGCAAAGATTAATATAAATATTAATATAAAGTTTAATAAAACGTTACACACACTTCAGTTGTTCTAGAGGTTCAGCAGGAACACGAATAGTTGGTACCGATCCTTTTTTCATGAGCAGCTTCTTAGCAAAACCAGCTTTATACTGACACTCGTTTATAAAGCAGTCTGGTGAGAAATGATTCGCGCAAACATGAGAGCATTGACATTGCTCGTGGGGATTATTCCCTTCGAAAACAAACTCAGCCACTGTGTCTTCAGCGGTTCGGATTTAGGAACATTAAAATGACTGCTGTGTTCGTTATTACACCCAAGAACAGAACACCACAATCGCTTAGACGCCATTCTGCTCATAGACAGTGCTCCAGCATATCAACAATGACCGCGCCGGTCTGCGCAGACTATGATTGACAGCTCCCTCACGAGCGAGGGCGGGTCTGTGTTGAAACGTTGCTGTCAATCAACAATCGTGGGAGGGGCTTCCGAGCGTGTGACGTCACAAGGTCGAACGGCTTGATTTGAGACAGGGGAAAACATATAAGGAGATTAAAAAAAAAAACACTGGATGGATTTTTTATCATTTTATGATGGTTGTGTACAGGCACTGCCAACACACATTTCAGTACAATCAACTTGTAAAAGTGCATGTACCATTATATGACCCCTTTAAAAATAATACAGAAATTATATTATAGAATAAAACATCATGGTTGAACCCACTTCAATGTGTGCTATTAAAACACAATATTGGAAGGGCATTGACAGAATCCTGAGGAGTGACCAATTTTGGTTGTGAAAGCAATATTCTGTTCATGTTGTGTTGGCAGAATTTATTATTATAGCTCAAACACCGGAGCAAGCCACTACCAATGCCGAGGTCATGGGTTTGACTCCCAGAGAATGCATAAACTGATAAAACTTATACCTAAAAAGCATCTACTAAATACATAAATGTAAATTTACAAAATGAGAAAGACTGATCTGAAAAACCAGCGGTTTCAGTGTGTGGACACTCATCCACACGCTACAGTTGCTGCAGAATTAAATTAAATGAAGCTAAGTGGCTAAAAAGGGTCAAATTACATGGTATTTGAATAAAGCCTCAGAGGAAAGACTCAGAAGATAGAAGTACTGCATTCCAACCGGCCACCCACTGTTCAACTGTGACAGTGACCTCCCATTGCAAGTATAGCTCTTTTAGAGGCGTAACCTTCCTCCTCTAATGGATGGAAAAGGGCAAGAAAGTATGATTCGCTATGACAGCCTGTTAGAAAATGTGTTTAGCTGAGCTCACATTCACCCCATAGTTACGTTAGCCACCCAAACGACATGCTAAATTTCAGTTACCACCTTTTCCCATGTTGTGAGTTCAGGCATTATACACCCTGGTAGCTATGTGGCATTTCAGTGGACAGGTGCCAAGATAACGGTTGGTGCCGCCCAACCATCATGTAATATCATTAAATCTGGCTGCGTTTTGAGCTCAAAGGCGAGTGAGAAAGGTGAGTGAGAAAACACCTTCACGCGTCTTTAGCACCCTGGCAGACCTAGCATCCCTGAAGCAGGTCTTTTCCCAGTCCTAAAACTGCTACTGTGGTGTATTACAGTTAGATATCTGGAAAAAATCTAAGGCCTAGATCAACTGTACCAACAGAAGCCAATTCATCCACATGGGAACTCCCAAACTACACAATGCAGGATGTTTAAAGGAACTATTATCACACACATTTTTATTGCATTCGCTGGTAGAGCAGATGCACATTTCCATGGGTTTAGTCACACAAAGATCACATAGTCAAGGCACAAAGGAAGAGGAAGTTCATGCATGCCAGTGCATCATGCATGATAAAAAACAAAATGGATGGCAGGGGTCACTACAGGGCAAGGAGTAAAATAATACGCTTATATATGTGTACCTTAGTTCTGGAATATTCTCCTTGGCTGACAATGCGCTGTTTGGCCAACAAAAACATGCAGCTGCCAGTTTCTCATGGCTTTTAGCTATGGCCTGGCATTCCTGCAGTCCTAGGCCACTTAACGTCACATTCGCAAGGGTGGGGAGCCTATACACAAATGCTGTAGAATATCTTACATCACTCCGATTTGGGTGTGCTCGGTCTCACTGGGCTTCTCATTGCATATTGATTGAAACTGAAAGGGTGGAAAAATAAGCAGTTCATTCTCAAATTATGTGAAAAGATCATCTGCGCAAACAGTAATTATGGCAAGTTGTACGTTTACACATTTATGTCCATCACCCCACTTATAATTAAGAAAACGATACAAAACAACTATTACGTATCATATTAAGAACTAATGTAAACCATCAACTAACAGTCATGTTTAATTAGCTGAACGTCATGTTAAATGAGAAAAGACAATCTGGAATCAAATCAGGGTTTGTTGTTGTTGCTCTTGTGAGTCTGTTTTTCTGTAGTTCCCCTGGCACTCCAAAACAGTTTTACAGTTTATTGCGTCTCTCACAGCTGGC